TGAGGAGGTTGAGGCAGGAGAATTGCCTGAACCCAGGAGGCGGAGGTTGCGGTGAGCCGAGATCGCGCCATTGCACTCCAGCCTGGGTAACAAGAGTGAAACTCCGTCTCAAAAAGACACACAAATGTAAGGCAACACGTGAGTGTATGTACTGGGTGTGTGAGGTAAGAAAGTTTCTCTGTATAACTCATGAAATCTCAATTACCATCTATAATGAAAAAGAAACAATACTGAATTTAAATTCAGCAGACCAAAGATTTCTTTTGGATTATTAGTTTTAATCTGTCTTCAAGCTTTTTTCCAATGCTGCTGCTGCTAAGCAGAAAAGAGATTTGCATTTCTTGTGTAAGACAGAGAGATTAACATGACATTTATCACGAAGTCAAATTGCCAGCAGCCTCAACCATCTTACACAGCTGAGTGCGAGCTGAACTGAAAAAGGTCCTGAGTCACAAAGAACTGTCAAAGCTCATGAAGACAGCCCTATGTTTCCACAAAAGCAAACGAGAGGTGGAGGAGGCCAGATCACATAGAAGAGATTTTTCCTTTAAAGCACCAAACAGACCAGCTTTATAATGCAGATTTTTTTTTTTTTTTTGCTGGCTTCTCAGTTTTTCAGCTGATGGTTCTTAAGTTATTTAAGGACCGGACGGGTAGCTCCAGGAGGCCTTCAGGTATCACCGTCCATGCAGTGTTCCATCACATTCATGAGGATGGTTTGGGTTCTAGAGAAAATAATATGATTATATTTGTATATTTGATAATTTATATGATTATATATATATATATGTGTGTGTGTGTGTATATATATATGCATATACGTGTGTGTGTGTGTGTGTGTATATATATATATGTATTTTGAGATAGGGTCTCACTTTGTTGCCAGGCTGGAGTGCAATGGTACAATCATAGGTGACTGTAGCCTTGAGCTCATGGGTTCAAGCTATCCTCCTACCTCAACCTCTTGAGTAGCTGGGACCAAAGGTATGTGCCACCATGCCCAGCTCATTATTTTGGTAGAGACGAGGTCTTCCTATTTGCCCAGTCTGGTTTCAAACTTCTGGGTTCAAGTGATCTTCCCACCTCAGCCTTTCAAAGTGCTGGGAGTATAGGTGTGAGTTACTGCACCCAGGCAGCGATAGTTTTAGAAGAACAATTCATAACCTGAAACCAGAAGCACTGAGTCCACCAAATTAAGTAGGCCAGTAATCTGAGGGAACATTGCCAGGAACTGTTGAGAGATAGGGAAGGGAATGCAGAAATAAAAGCAGGAGGCGGGGCACAGTGGCTCATGCCTGTAATCCCAGCATTTTAGGAAGCTGAAGCAGGTGGATCACCTGAGGTCAGGAGTTTGAGACCAGCCTGGCCAACATGGTGAAACCTTGTCTCTACTAAAAAATACAAAAATTAGCTGGGCGTAAAGAATTAAGTGATTCTCTTTTCCAGCTTCCCAGCTACTTGGGAAGCTGAGGCAGGAGAATCGCTTGAACCCAGGAGGCAAAGGTTGTAGTAAGCTGAGATTGTGCCACTGCACTCCACTCCAGCCTGGGTGACAAGAGCAAGACTCTGTCTAAAAAAAAAAAAAAGAAAAAAAGAAATTAAAACTAGGCCTGACCTTGTGCTATTCTACTCAGGAACTGGGCAGCAAATGGCTCTCTCCGGAGAATGGGACCCCAAAAAGGAAAGGAATACCAAGATGCACAACTGTCCCCACCATCCCACCACACCACACCCACAACAGGGTAAGGCAGCGGAGGAACTGAGAGGGAAAGCAAATAATGGCTTTTCATACTTAACTAATTAAATTTTAATTTGGATTAACATTTTCCGCATTTGTATGAAAAGGCTATCCTGGAAGACATCATCTAGTCAAAGTGCCTTAAAAAAAAATCTAATTGTAATGAACTAAAGATGAAGGGCAAGTCAACTTTCACTTAATGAAAATGATTCATATAATAGTGATAGTATATAAATGGAGAAATAAATTGCATCTCAACACTGAGTCACTTTTAGGAAAAGTTCAAATAAGTAAAAATAATTTGGAGATTAGTTTTCCTCTTTTTGGGGATACTATCCTTAAAAATAATTAAAATGACAAGCTGGATACAGTGGCAAGTGTATGCCTATAGTCCCAGCTACTCAAGAGGCTGAAGCAGGAGGATCACTTGAGCTCAGAAATTTGAGACCAGACAGGTTGACATAGTGAGATCCTGTCTCCAAAACAGAAAAATCAAAATGACAAACATTACAAACAACTCTTTTCCTTGTCATCTCTTAAAAGGATATTAAATCTCTAGGGGCTCTGTGTTCAAGTGTAAGATGAGCTGCAAAGTCATCCGTGACATGATTAGGATCGCCTCCAGGTAATGCTGCACATATTGGACAAATCTGAAATGGAAGTAAAGAAAGCAGGCTTAATAAATGAACATCAATAAGACATCTTCCCGGACGAGTATTCTGCTCTAAGTTTTACTATTAGCAAGTTGTAACCAATAAAAAACACAGCAGACCTTCAATTAGTGAAAAGCAGAAGCCTAAAACTGTTCACACAAGGTCCCTCAGGGTCAAACACAACAGTTTCACACACACTAAACTTGATCTCTGGCAGGGCCTTCTAACAGCTTGCCTGATTCATTTGCATAGTCTAGCAAAATAGTTTCCATTAAAAAAACTTTAAAATGTGCCATTTAGTGCACATTTATGTTTAATTCTAGTCTTGAATGGTAAAGACCGATATAAGCCTATGGCATACCTCTCCAAAGTATGCTATACTTGAGAACCAATTCTCAAATAAGACAGCAGAGGTCTGATTAAATCCAACTGTGCAAACATATATCTGTTGAATGTAAGACAAATTATGATTACCGATAATATGCAAATGTGCTCTATAAATTCATGACCGTGACTTCCAAGGGGAATATAATATGTAAGCCCATTTTTTAATCTTATTTCCTAAAGAAATGGGTGATAGGGCAGAAGCTTGTGACCAGGTCAGGTTCAAGAAATAGAAGATCAACTTTCCACGGGCCTTTCAGTAAGACATAGGAGAAAGTAGGAATAAAATGGTGTCTACACAATCAAGGTTCAGGGAGTGGATGACAGGTTGGGAAGGTGGTTTCTATAGTTAACAAAATTGGTAAAACAGAGGGAAGGAGAGGGGAAGGCTAGAAAGAATGAGGAACTTTTTAAAGAGGAAATGCCTTTACTCTTCTGAAATCCAAATGGGCAGATAATGGTCTAACAGTGGTAGCCAAGCCTTGAAGTATGAACAACTCAATCTTAGGGCCAAGAAGAAATGTCAGAAACAAGCGGCATGACCAAAGGGAGCTCCAGGAAGTACACAGTTAAAGTGGCAGACTTGTATTTATAGCCATAAGAGGGTTAAAGACAGGATATATGATTCATCTTGCCAGTCCATGTGCAAAATCCTTTCACCTAGGCAAAATCTAGGCCACCAGTCGACCTCACTGTTTGCTGACGGCACAGTGGGAGTAGGTGGTAGCGCTGGAGAGGAGGGCAGATGGGAAAGGTGAGACTTGGAGGGACAATTCTAGGGTATGGAGGGAAAACAAACTGCTCTGATTCCTGGAACCCAAACAAACATAACTTCCCGTCTTCTAACAACCAGAAAGCAGATGTCCCCTGAGAGTTCAACTCTGATTTGATACCAGTCTCTCTTATGCCTAATGAGCTATCCTGATCATGTGACTCAGGACTCTCAGAAATATTCTCAGGAAAACCTAAACATGTTCATGAGAGATAACATTTAAGCATTACAGTGTGCAAAAGAACTAGAGAGGTCACAATGGAATGTGATGAGGCAAACAAGAAAAAGAAGTAAATAGACATGCCTATGCCTTCTTAGAAGATACCAGAGATTCTTTCCTCTGTCAGAAAGGTAGCTGTATCTGTTCACAAGTTTACAGATTATCAACTGTCTATTAGGAATTTATATTTTACCATCGGTACCATTCTGGTACTCTGACATTACCTGGTAGTAGGTGATATACATATTTTACTTTTCGTGTACTTCTGTGTTACCTAGCTAAATTGTAAACTCTTTGAGAGATGCAGGACAGTATGATTTGTTTTTAGTTTTAAACTCCGGCCAGACTTGCTTTTAAAAAAAAAAAAAAAAAAAAAAAAAAAAGACCAGCAATGTTTGGAGAAACAGAAAAAAAATTCCAGTTATTTAAAAATAAAAGAAACAAGCCACCTTAGAGACTCATTTTGAAAACATTAACAAGAGATAGGTTATAGTTTTATTACAATATTATAAAGCTGTATACCATTTTTATTTAAAGAGAAAATAACCACCAAAAAGGAAAAAGGCATCTTTCTTTTAAGATAGTTTGCTTGGGCCGGGCGCGGTGGCTCAAGCCTGTAATCCCAGCACTTTGGGAGGCCGAGGCGGGTGGATCACGAGGTCAAGAGATCGAGACCATCCTGGTCAACATGGTGAAACCCCGTCTCTACCAAAAATACAAAAAAAACCTAGCTGGGCATGGTGGCGCGTGCCTGTAATCCCAGCTACTCAGGAGGCTGAGGCAGGAGAATTGCCTGAACCCAGGAGGCGGAGGTTGCGGTGAGCCGAGATTGCGCCATTGCACTCCAGCCTGGGTAACATGAGTGAAACTCCGTCTCAAAAAAAAAAAAAAAAAAGATAGTTTGCTTTAGGTTGGCCTTTTGGTAAAATCTATAGAAAACCTGAGCTATATAAATACAGCTGCAGAGGCTTCAGTACTTGAGGGGGCATAAAAATGTTGGTAGATGAGAAGTCTCCATAAGGATATAGATTCCTAGAAGGAACAGAATGGGAAACACCGATACCAAAAGTACTAAGAATGTCCTAATAAGATAGATAATTTAACAATTAGAAAAGCACCTCTGAGACGAGGATGTAAAATAAAAAGAATGTCAAGATCCTTCCGTATTGTGTATTGGCTTTGGTTCTATACTCAAAATCTTTTTTATTTCATTGGAGTAACTCTGCTAAGATGGCAGGATGAAGGTATTCAGAACTGCTTCATTCAGAGAGAAATAATATAAAACTAACCAACCAACCAAACTTTCGTAATGACTAGGGATAAAGAATTACTAAGGACAAGAAATTAACTGTGGTGGGAGGATCACCCAGGTTGACAGTTGGCATAGAAAATCAAGAGGCTAGATTGAGAAGTGAGTGGAAGATGTTACCACACTTGGGCCACATAAAATTAACTCAGATGAGGACTTGGAAAGGAAAACTAAGCTCAGATGCTGATGCAACCACAGAGGCACAGTCATCTTTTAGGTTTTACTTTTTTTTTTTTTTTTTTTTTGAGACAAAGTCTCGCTCTGTCACCAGGCTGGAGTTCAGTGGTGCCATCTCGGCTCACTACAACCTCTGCCTCCCAGGTTTAAGCGATTCACTTCCCAGTCCAGAGTAGCTGGGACTACAGGCGCACACCACCACACCCAGCTAGCTTTTGTATTTTTAGTAGAGACGGGGTTTCACCATGTTAGCCAGGATGATCTGGATCTTTTGACCTTGTGATCTGCCTGCCTTGGCCTCCCAAAGTGCTGGGATTACAGGAGTGAGCCACCGTGCCTGGCCTAGGTTTTACATTTTATATTTAGCAAGCTAATTCATGCTTTATGACAAAACGCTTGTTCTCAAGGCAGTGTTTTCTAAGAGGAAATGAAGGGAACGAGAAAGAAAGAAAAAAGAGCAAAGAAGGGCAGGAGAAATGGAAAAGTGGTGATGGGAAGTGGCAGGAGAGAGAAAGCAAGCTACTATGCCACTCAGGGACACAAACACTGCTTAGTTTTGAGTGTGCCTTTACTTCCACGTCGTGGTGCTTAATACATCCTAGAGGACAAGGAAACTTTACACAAAGGCTAATTTTAGGGTATTGACAGCTTGTCAACATTAGTATTTATCATACTTCCACTGCCACATGATATAGTAATATCTATTATTCATACAGGAAAATTCCACATAACACACAAGCTTAAAATTATAATAGCTTGTCAATTAAAGTTTACTTAACTGGATTAAGTCAGTGTTTCTTTAATTTGGCTAAGAATACACAATCATCTGGAGCGCTTGTTAAAAATACAGTTTCTGCCGGGTGCGGTGGCTCAAGCCTGTAATCCCAGCACTTTGGGAGGCCGAGGCGGGTGGATCACGAGGTCAAGAGATCGAGACCACCCTGGTCAACATGGTGA